CAATCCTAACCTTGGCAGACTCAAGGGTCTGCCTCAGTAAAGAGCTGCTTCAGCAGTAAAGAGCTGAAGCCCTAGGAAATGCATAAAACAGAAAGGTGTTTCCCACTGAAAGCAGCAGACATGAAGACAAATTTAATAACAAAAGAGAATATATAATAAGTATAAGAAAAATGCAGAAAACTTTTGAAATGAAAATTGCACGTACTGACTTCACAGTTCTTTGGGATATGTGAAGAAATGCATTTTTCCCTGGGAGGTTTAAAATGAGCAAAGCCTACCCTGTGCACTTTAACAGTGTCCCCCCCCCCCCCGCCCGAGCAGAGAACAGGCAGTCCAATTGCTTTCCAGCTTACCTTCATCCAAATGCTAATAGATCTAGCTAGAGACAATTGGAAGGTCAAGCTTCCCCCCTTCCTCCCCCTCCTAGCAGGGAACAGAGACTTGGAGGACTTCAAGCTAGAATGGATCTAGGAATAATCTCCAGGAAGAAGCCCTAGGAAATGCTTCTTTGACCTGGTGTGACCTGGTCAGTGGGTGAAGAAGAGATATGATAAAAACTCACTGCAAGAGGAAGGAGCTCTCTTTTCCTTGGGTGATGAGGCCATGAAAGCAGGCAGGACTCTCAACTAGAGAAGGCAGCCATTTTGACCATGTGCTCGCCTGGAGAGCTGGATAAAGCTTCAAGGTAATAGTTACTAAGTAGAAATCTGTAACTTATTAAAGCTAAAGAGCCCATCCTATATTTTAACATCTGATAGGCCATGTATAGAGAGAGGGACAGAGGATTTGTGTTTTACCTATTTCCTTTGTATCCCTTGCTCAAATCTGGTGCTGTGCTAAAAGTATGCTTGTGAACATTTTTGTTTTAATAAATACTTTATAACTTTTGATGCTGGCAGTAGTTTTCTGCACCATATAGACCTCCACCATCTTGGACACGCTATTTTAAATGAAGTGCCAGGGGAAAGGCAGTCAGTTGGCTTCGTAGCTATTCCTCCAGGGGCGCACAAGGTGACCAGGCACTGGGCAGCCCACAAAAACTGCTAATACAAGGCTCTTCACCCATTTTTGGAAATGGAAAAAGAGCTGTGGACCTAGAGTTTTTCACAGCCACCTCCTACCTGATCCTGGAGATACTGAGAATGGAACATGGGACCTTCTGGAAGCCAAGCAGACACCCTACCACTAAGAACTGCCTTTATGAAGTTGGGATTATATGCTATGGATTACAAGAGCTGTATCTCAAGCACGTCAGTTTGTCAGCCTACACTGGGGGATACCATGGCGGCCTTATCTTGGAGCTCCCATCTGGGACCTGAGGCAGCTACAAGCAAGGAACCTGCCTCCCATCAACTGTACTGGTGAATGAATGAATATAATTTATTGCAGTCCACAACCAGATACAGGCTCACACAGCAAATCATTTTGAAGGTATAGATGTTAAAACACTCCAATTAGAAGAGCAGATATAGAATTATAACAGAGTAAAATACATTTAAAAGTTAATTAAAACAATTAAAATACATATAAAAGTTAATAATATCATAAAACCATTTAATTATAAACCTGAAAGCTAAAACAGGCAGTATTTAATCGAATTCCTAATACTGTACTGGTGAACTCCAGGAGAATTTCTTGCCTGCTCACATTACCATATAAAGAGCAACTACCTGTGCAGCTATTTTGAAAGCTTAAAATGCTTCCAGAAGGACCTATCTGCAAACACCAGCTGCAGTCTATTTGTGATGAGTCAGTGCCTCTCAGTGGTTACCTGGAAGGATGCAGTCTGGAAAATGTGAAGAAGGATGCTGGCTTGTGGAGCCACGCGACTGGTCACTGCCTTAGCCAATGAGGTCTCAGCAGGAGAAGCAAACCCTATATTTTCCGTGTCTCTGATGTATTTATCACTGCCTGATTGCAGAAGGCTATTCTATTATCCTTCGGACTCACACATTATGCTGGGTCTTTTAAAGGCAAGTTCAGGGAGACTGTTCCGTGTGTGTCTGCCTTGTATAGGTACTGTACTCAGATCAAAATGGGTAGCTGTGTTAGTCTGTCTGTAGCAGTAGAAAAGAGCAAAAGTCCCATAGCATCCTAAAGACTAACAAAATTTGTGGCAGGGTATGCGCTTTCATGAGTCACTGCTCACTTCTTCAGATACTGACCTAAAAGTAGATACTGAGCTAAAAGTAGCAGTAATCTTACAAAGGAATTTCAAAGGGAGTTTAGAAAGAGAGACTGCTGAATTGCAATTGATAATGAAGCTCAAAACAATGCACCCACCTGGATCGAATCGAGACCTAGGTTTCCTGTCTCATTACCAATGCTGATTTCTCCACACCTATTACTCCTCTGCATATCTCACCTAAATCCAATCACGCCTGCTATTGTTATTCACCTGCTATTGTCATTTTCCTGCTAATGTCATTCGGCATCTGAAATCACCCCAGTTTCCAATAGGACAGATGGACTCCCATTCTAGCTGTATCTGAAGAAGTAAGCAAAAGCTCATACCCTGCCACATATTTTGTAAGTCTTTAAGGTGCTACTGGACTCTTGCTCTTTTCTACTGTGGCACATTAAGGACTACCAAAATCTGTGGCAGACTATGAGCTTTCCTGAGCCATTGCTCACTTCTTCAGATACAACTACTGCACTTGTCTTTGCAAGCCTTGAAGTTGTTTTAGGTTTATTTGGAGCTTCTGTTCAGGGCTGCTTTTGACACCACAACTTGATGTTTAATTTCTTTCCTATGGTTCGATTTACTATCATGGCTTTTTAAACAGAAAGTCTTGGGAAATGGTCATACTTCTGTCTCATTTGTAAATGTATGTATTCTTTGGGGAAAGTCAGCTATATGCTGGTCTCTGACTTGGATAGTCCAGGTTAGCCTGATTTCCTCAGATTTTGAAAGCAAAGCAGCGACAGCCCTGATTAGTACTTGGATGGGCGACCACCAAGGAAGACCTCTATGCAGAAGCAAGCAGTGGCAAACCACCTCTGAATGTCTCTAACCTTGAAAACCCCACCAGGGTTACCATAAGTCAGCTGTGACTCGATGAGGAAAAACTGCTGGTCTCACATTACAAAACGCATTCATCTTCATCCACATATGAAATGACAGACCGAGAATCAACACCTGCAGAAAGTTTTCAGGCAGCTTGAAATCTCCATCAGAGCAAAACAAGAGCCATCGGCTCAGAGGAGTGACAAGGTACATAGACCACGTGAACAGAGACGGCTTGGTGTGGTGAGGTTGGAGTGCCAGGTTAGGATCTGATAGAGCCAGGTTCAAACCTCCATTCTGGCATGAAGCTTGCGGGATGACCTGGGACCAGTTAGGAAACTACCTCAAAAGGTTGCTGTGAGCATAAAATGAGGAAGAGAAAACCATGTACTCCGCATGCGGCTCTTTCACACATATTGTTCGGCTCCCAGCAGAGCGGCTGAGCAAGCGAAGGGGAGGCATTGCCTTCCCAATCAGTCTTACTGCCCCCAGCCAGTGTTCCCCTCCCTGGGTAGGCTTGAAATGGGGGGAGCAGAGAAAGAAAGCCACTTTACCTTTAAATGCATTCTCAAAGCCCACCCGCCAGCCGGCTTGGAGAAGGCATTTGTCTCTTTAAATCCCTTCTCCAAGCCAAGCCAGCTGGCATGGGGGGGGGGAGACTTGGAGGATGCATTTAAAGTTGCTTTTTCCCCACTTTTCCCCCTCCCCCCATCTATTTGCTCTCTTTCTCTCTCTCTCTCTCTCTCTCTCTCTCTCTCTGACAAATTAATATCATTAGCAATACCTCTTTTTACAACTTTTGTTTTTATTGTTTGCAGTCTCATTTAATGTTAATAAAAAGCAAATCTGCATATTTTCAATAAAATGTGTGTGTAATATTTGTTCATGTCTTGTGGCTCTCAAATGTCTGATGCTTATTCTATGTGGCTCTTATGCTAAGCAAGTTTGGCCACCTCGATGTGCACCCTTCCAAGTTCCTTAGGGAAAGGATGGGATCAAAATATATTAGGGATACTGATTCTATCAAACTGCCCTTCTGATGTATTGGTAGCAGGGGTCATTTCGTAGAAAAAGAGGTGCAGGAGCTCATTAGCATAACTCATTAGCATAACTTATTTGCATATGTCACACCCTCTGACATCACCGAAAGTGTGTCAAAAGGCAACATCCACCACTCAGGCTCCACTGGACTGTTTTGGATTGCTAGCTATGGGGGGGGGGGGGCGCAAAAATCGGCCCCCCCAG